ATTCTTCTAAAAACATGTCATGCTGTTAGAGCAGAAAAAACATTCCCTACAATCCACAAGAGCTCCTTATAAAGAATCTGTGCATGTCAACAGGTTCATGCTCTTTTCATTAGTAGCTCTCAAATAAGTAGTTGCATTTCAACTACTGCATTTTTCCAATTTTAGTAAGAATATATTAATAAGAACTCTTAGAAAATAAGAAGATAATACGGACATTCCCCATACATGCTATGGAGAAGTGTAAAAAGATTGCAATCATAATTGACAGAGCTAGTTGTATCATTCTGAAATTAGATGGAAAAAATGTCCATTTTTGACATAGTATCTCATAGACTAAGTACTAGTAATTGTGGCATGAGCATAAGTTTAATGTCCTTCAGGATATAAATTTTATCAAACTCCACTACCACCAATGTGGCAGTTTGGGCTACATTTCTTCATAAATGTCACCAAATTCATTTAAGACCCATTACCTAGCAAATTAAATTTGAAAGGACTCTGGAAACATGTGAAAGGGGCACTATGCCCCTTCACTGTGATATGAATGAATTACTTTCCTTAAAGCATGAAAATAGCTATGTCCTCTGGAAGACTTGCACACTTGCCTTGAATATCCTCTGCATATGACTGACATTTCTTGAGTTGCACAAAGTAGAAAACCCTCCCCAAGGAAGAAAAGCCAGTAATGGCTTCAATAGACTACATCTTTTCTCCCCATCTCCGCCCCCCCACCCCACCCCAAAGGTAGCAATCTTCCATGTTTTAAAAGCCCTGGTGGTAAAAGTGCAGTATTGCAGGAAAACTCTGTCCACAGCCTGGAGTTTGATCCTGACAGGGGTCAAGGTTGACTCAGCCTCTTACCAGAAGTTTGCATCGTAAGAAGGATACATCCTATAGCACTTTTCAGTAGCAGTTGTACCCTTAGTAGAGACTGTAGTAAGTATTTGTTAAGAAAAAAATTGCAGTGCTGACTCCCCCAATCAGTCTAAATGCTTCTAATTTTGTTGAGCATTATAGGAAGGAAGCATAGTACAATCACTATTTAGCTGCTAAAATAAAAATCAAAATACTCTGCTCTGTGGCAACTCACTCATTCCATAAGTCTCACCCAGCCCCACCTCAAACAAAGCTCTCTTACCTTTTGGCTCTGAGGACTTTCACTATCCTCAAAAATACCATCGTCTGGTTGATCATAAACAGGGCCTCCCAGAAGTCGTATGCGTTTTTCACATTGTTTTTTTGCTACCGTTAGTTGATTAATATATCTTTTCATGTTTCTGGCCCTCAAATGATCTGCTTTCATTGCAGCAGTTTCTTTAACCTTATTCTCTGTAGAAAAATAAATAAATTTCTAATATTAAACAATTAATATAGAATACATTTTAATCAATATAGCAGTCATAGCTTCTTAAAATCACAGTACATAGAATTCTGAATGTCTCACAGTATGAAATCAATATTTAAAATTTGACATATTCAGTCCATCCATAAGGTATTTGCTTCATAAATGAGGTGATTTAGGTGATTTAGCATTCAATTCTATATTCTGGATTGAGTAAAACTTCCTCAGATTAGGGAAGCAATGTCAACAATCCTGGTTAATTATCAATGATAAATATGAATTATCTCCAGCAAACAAGCCAAAAAGATTTGTAAAAGTTCTAGCTTTTTAAAAAAAGATTACCTTAATAAAATCTAAATTAGCTAAAATCTGGAAGAAAGACTGTACTTTTTATTAACATCACAGCAATATATTGCACACAAAAGAATATATCCAAATGTATATAGTCAATCATTCTCTTCATACATTTTAGTGTAGCCTTTGTGCTCCCAAATAAAGCATATTTGTTAAAAAATAATAGCTAATTTCTCTATCATTTACTCTAAAAAATTCCCGCAAAACCACTTTTTAACATACCGGTGAAAGAGAATGAAAAGATAATAGGAAAAAAACCAAGAAGGCTGCCTCTACAAATAAATTATCTTGACTGTAAATGATGCTTCCATAGCAACTATTCAAAATAGCTGAGGAAAATTGCTGTATTTCGGGCCAATCTGAACCTGAATATTAAAAAAAATCAGACAAGTAGCTTTTTCACATACATAATCACACTATATCAAAGTACAGATTTTATATTTATCAGCAAATAACAATCTTGCTGCATTAAAACATGCATAAAATGATTAATCCTATCAGATGGAAATATATGTAATTTAAACATTTTAGTTTAGCTGTTGCAAACTTTGAAGATGAGAAGACGAACGGGCAAAAGATAGAACTGTTCATTCAAATAACTCTTTCTATACATCAGGTTTGAGGTTACTCAATAGTTCTGCTAACTCAAATGCTTAATAAGATATTTTCAGAATAATGAGAATACAGACCTGATCCATATCTTACACCAAGAAACCAAATGTAATTGTTAAGAGGGACTGGCGAGGCTGGTTAAATAGCATTCAAAATATTAATAAAGTATATCATCACATATATTGTGAAAACTCCTTTTCAAATACTGGATTCCCTCCACCAATTCAGTGATAGTTTCCAGCAAGAATCACAACAAAAAATTGCAGACTAGCAATTATCCTCTTTCCATAGCAGTGCATGAACTAATGCAAAATACTGATTACATAATAGTCAGTTAAAATTTCATTAGTTGCTTAATCTATAAACTCTCAGATCAAAGCATAACATTACTACTACCTACTGTAATTGGCAGCAATGGTAAAAGAATTCATAAACATAAAGAAAATTCCACTTTATACTTGCAGTGATACACCACGGTATTCCATCATGATTGATTACAATACCCATGTCAAAATCAGTGGTTCAGATTTGAATTATCTATGAGTTCAGTCATTCCATTACATGCACACATCTTACAAGAATAAACCCTGTATTAAAAATTATGAAAAAGTTAAATTCTCCAGGTCAACTATCCCTGAAGCAGCTGACCTTCAGCCTAACCTAAAACTGTTTCTCAATCTCAGGGCCTTTAAGATGTCTGAACTTCAACTTCTAGAATTCCCCAGCCATCATGGAAGCTGAAATCCACACATTTGAGGAGAAGCACTTTTCAGAGAACAGAAACACTGTTCAGAGATATCCAAACATTTCAGCACTAAGATCTGCAGTATTTGCACTTCCATTTTCTTCCTCATTTTATCTATTCTTTTCAGCAAATGTAAGAGATCTCATCTTCCTATTGAGTATTATTTATTTAAACTTGTATCCTGCCCATCTCACCTACAGACATTAAATTATGGGACTTTACTCCTGTCTCTGAATAAATAGCAGACTTTAAAAAGGATGTTCTTTGTTTTTTCTGCTGGATGGTTGCTTTGGATATTCAGAAGCCAGTGACTGATTCAATCAGAAAGGATCCATGGTTGAATGGATAGTTCTTTGCAAACTTCTCCAGCAAATGAAGCTTTCTAGTAACTATGATGACTAATAATTGCCACCCAGACTCATTTCAATATGAGATGGGCAGCAAATTTAATAAATAAAATAATAAATAAGCCTAATAAACTGAAGATGAATGGTCAGTCTAAAAAGTATATACATTAGTTGAAAATTTGTGTTCATGAATAATGTACATCTCTAATTAGTTGTAGTGAAATTGAGGAATATATTAAACAGGGAATTGTACTCAAGCCTTGAATCAACAAATGTATTCAATTGTCATACTGTGTACTTTCTTTTATGTGATTGTGCCTGTCAGGCACAAAGATCCCGAAAGAGGGAAAATAAATTCTGTCATCCTCCTTTTCTACTATCTCTAAGACTCAATGGTTTCATTTTGGACTAGCTGAGCTGGTGATAATGATCGATCAGATTTTTGTTGTAAGTCAGATTCAATCTGAGTGAAAACCAAAAGATTTATATGATCTGAAGAGAAATCAGAGTATGAGAGGAAGAGTGGGAAGCAGAGGAGAGAAGAAAGATAGGAAGAGAGGGATAGGAGAGAGGGCAAGGGGGGCAAGATGAGGAGAATAAGGAGGAGTGGAAAGAGGAGAGAGGAGAAAGGAAGGGGAAGTAGAGTAGAAAAGGATGATGGAGGGAAGAAAGGAGGTAGGGAGGGGGCGGACAGAGGCAGAAGAAAGTGGTGTATGGAGAGCAGAAGAGCCAATAATTGGGTTTTTTTGCCGGGAGTTGATGGCAAGATGAACTGATGTAATTATTAATTAAAACAATATGATATTGGCTAGGTAATAGTATACATGTGATTATATGTTATGAAAATGGAAAATAAAAAAAAGTATATTTTAAAGAAATCTGAGTGAAAACCAAGGACTGTTGTATTCTGAAATGCATTCTTGGATATTTTTTTAGAATAAATCATCAGAGTGAAATTGTAAGGAGCAATGGTCTTGATATCAATTTATCCCATGCAAGTACTAATCAGCTTTGATCATCTTTCTTAGATGCTGAGCTGACACACGGTCAGCCTCTTGTTGTCACCTTTTTAAACAGGAAGGAATCTCCCTTAGTGGTGATTAAATACCACATTTCCCTAAGGCAGGGTTCAGCAACCCGTGACTCTGGAGCTGCATGTGGCTCTTTCATCCCTCTGCTGCAGCTCCCTGGCACCAGTCAGAATCACAATTTTGAGAGGAGCTTCCGGTTTGGGGGGAGAGCAGGGCACGCCAGGAGGAGACTCTATGGCAAGGGGTGGGTTTTCTGTTCAGATCCACAATTGATAGGGCTTTCAGTTAGGACAGGTAGAGGAAAAAAGATGCCACACTAGGAGGAGACTCTATGTTGGGGGAACCAGACTTCTGGTTGGCTCCAGAATTGAACGGGTGGGGGGAGGTTTCCAATTAGAACCTTTGTGGCTCTTTGAATGTTTAAGATTGCTGACCCCTGCCCTAAGGGTACCAGTACTGAAAGTTTAGCGGGTTTAATTTTTAATCAGAACTTGAAATTACTCTAGTTTAAAAAACCCTTAGGAGAAAACCCAGGTTAGACTTTTAAGCCAGGCTAAACGCACAATGTTAGTAAAGAACAAAGGGATTATACCAGCCTTATGAAGCAGTCCAGACAATCAGAATAGTTCTAAATTTATTTTAAGTTTAATTAACAAAATCCTACAAGTGTGAAAGTCCCTCTCTCCCCCCTCATCTTTATAGTGCAAAAAACTACCTAGGTTCCCTTCTGAGATGTTTGCTATAGCCACATTATTTTTGTGGACTAAGCTATCCTTTGTCTGACTATTGTCTAGTTTACAACTATTCCACCTGTCTCCTAAGGTCATTCCCATCACCATTAGAAGATGCTATAAAAAGAGGAGGGGGAATACTAATCAACAATTAACTTTTAACCATATTATGAAATCAAATGATTATGGGTATTAACTCAGTTTTGGTTAATCATGTGCCAACAGTTTTAAAAAGGGATGACTTCATGATTATTGTTCTCTCTTTGAAAAATACATGCTGGCCTTCCTTAACTTTGTTTCAAAGACATGAGGAAAATGGTGTAATTAATTACAGATCTGTGGAAAAAATAAGAAGTCTACCAGCACCTTTACCATGTAACAAATTTTATTAAAAGGCATAGGCTTTCATGAACTGCAGACTTTTAGTTTATATCTTTTCATAAATGTGTTATAAAAGGAGCTACCAGACTGCTGATATGATTCTCTTCCATATCAAAAATATATAAATTGCAAAGTATTTAATGATCAAAACATCTTGACTTCAGATGTTCTAAGTTTTCCAGAGATGTTTCAACAGCAGAATATATCTCAACCTTACAAGTCTATTTTGCTAAAATCAGAACAGGCCATTTATATGTTATAGCACTTCTGATAAGATTGGAACAGCTCATTCCAAAATCAGATTAATTCTCTTTCCATTTCCCTCTGCCAGCTTAGGTTAAAACCAGTGAAATACTTAATAGGCTTGTTCTACAAATGCATGGTACAACTTTACAAAATAGGGTATATACATTGCTATAACTCTAATACATTATTGAAATCCAAAAATATATTATTCCTGATAGAAATTAGGCAAAAATGGTAAAATATGATAAAATAACTAAAAAAAAAAATCCGATTTAAATTTGGCAATGTTGTGTTACCTACACCCACTTGTAAGCTTCCTGTGCCCAAAGAATTGTGTGCTTTCCCACAACAGCTTAAAAGCTCATGTACATTACCTGTCCACACCAAAATGTTTAAGGGGCAGAAAGCTCTTTAATATATAAGTAACAGAGACACTAACTGGTACTACTGTATTTACTAAAACTGAAATCTCTTTAAGTAGAGTGGGAACAAACCCTTCCAAGAAAGAAATGTTCATTAATGGAGTGTTTGTTCAATTTT